CAAGAGGACACAAACAAAGAGATCAAGGATATATTGGACAAACAAGAAGATACAACAAAAGAAATCAAAGAAATTATGGGAAAGAAGGAAGAATCAAGCACTCAGATTAAGAGCTTATTGGAAGCGTTGTTCATACGTCTTCCCCCTCCTTCTTAGATTTTCTTTAAATGTTTATCTGTATTTTTATTTTTCATCTTATTCTCCTTGTTTCTGAAAATTGTCATTGCATTCTGTTTTCAATATAAATCATCCTTTTTGACTCTGATTATATTGCTTTTTGATACCTGACAAAAAAGGGGAGAAAGTAAGATATTTTCAATAACAGTTTACCGGGACAAAGTCTCAAACATTCTGAATATCTTAACCTCTATGTTTTTCTAAAAAGCTTGAACATGAACATATTCTGATAAGGACAAAAGGAGATTCATCAAAAGCTCTGACGAGAAGTAACTTTAGGGAAGTAACTCATCTCTATCTGAGTAATCAACTCAGGGGAGAATCTCTTAAAGCTTTTTGTTCTATCATTTTTTATTGAAAATCCTAGTTTTTGTCATCATCAAAAAGGGGGAGATTGTTAGAACATAGTTTGAGTCTACAACCCTTAATTAGAGTTTTGATGATAACAAACACAAAGAACAAATATGCACTCTAAATTTGTGTTATTTTGTATGCATAAGTTCTGACTGAAACAACATCAGAAATTAAGCTACAGAAGCTTTCAAGCTGAGGTAATCAGAATCTGCGCTGAAGAATGATGATCAGAATCTACGCTGAAGTGAAGAATACTCTGATTCTGAACAGAAGTTTAATATACCATCAGATCCTCACATCTTTGAGTCATCAATGTTCTGAAGAAATTGCAACATGCAAGATTCTAAGTTCTGAAGTGTTACTTTTCAATCAAGACATCATCATATGCAACGACTTCATTCAAACAAGAATCTTCTTAATATGGAAACAACATTGAATGTCCATTATCACGCTTTATGTTGGACAAGATTTCAATGCCTATATAAACAAGCTTAGAGGACAAATCATTTACGATTTTGACGACTACTGCAATATACCTCTCAAACGCTGCAATCTTACATATTCATATATACAATCAAAATTGTGTAAAATATCACAGTTGTGATACCGTTTTTGTAAGGAAAAACAACAGTACACAATATATTATTTCATTGTGATTAAGCTAGTTTTCCTTGAGATAAACCGGGTTGTGGTTGTACTCAAGAAGACTTTGGCAGTTGTCAAAGTTGTGTTGTAATCAGTTTTGATTAGTGAATTAAGTCCTTGTTGGAGAGAGGCAAAATCACCTTGGCGGGTGAACTGGAGTAGTTTGAGATCAAACGATCCAGGATAAAAATATTGTGTCTACTTCGCTTTTGATTTTAAGTTTCAATTCAACCCCCCTTTCTTGTGTTTTTCCCTTCTTCACTCTCAACAATGCTGCAATCTTTTCTAATCCTCATACATACAATACTTTCAACTGTGTAAAACATCACAACACTGTGATACTGTTTTCTAAGAAACAATACTGTACACAGTTTTATTCTTATATTATTTAGTGCTTTTCCTTGATAAAAATCGGGTTATAGTTATACTCAAGAAGACTTTGGCAGATGTCAACGTATATTTGTAATTAAGATTGATTAGTGGATTAAGACCTCGTTGGAGGGAGGCAAAGTCACCTTGACGGGTGGACTAGAGTAGTTTGAGTTCAATTGAACCAGGATAAAAATCAACGTGTTCTTTATCATTGATTTTTAAGATTCCAATTCAACCTCCTTCTTGTGTTTTTCCATTCTTCATGGTCTTACTCCATGCATCTTGCACCATATTATGATACGTATCATTCATAAGCCAAGAACTCTTGAATCTGAAAGGCCACTTTTGAATAATAAAATTTTCCTCATGAAGATTAATAAGGATGGGATGATGATATAAAAACTCAACTCTCATTAGCACCTTCACAAAAGCTTCAGGGAAATGAACTCTCCACATATCATTGCTCAAGGCCCTGTCCAACCTCTCGTAAATTCACTGCCCACCATGATAAACTGGGTCCCTCCACGTGAAATTAGGGCCTTTAGTTTCTATTTCACTAATTTTGCATCCACCCATTATATTCCTCATTCTCTGGCATTTTTGTAAGGACGTCCGCAAGCCACCTTTCTTCTCACCAATATTAGCAATATTGTTAAAGTCTCCTACAAGCATCTAAAGATCTTTCGTATCACTAGATATAATTTTCAAACCTTCCCATAACACTTGCTTACTATTCTCATTAAGGCTCGCATAAACAGCCGTGAACTACCAATCATTCACATGCTCCATATGATCTCTAGTGTGAATAAATTGATTATCCTTAATGCAAACCTGAATACTAATGTCACTCCTCTTCCAAGCCACAACAATACCTCCTACAAAGCCTATGTTCTCATTATAATCCATTCCGTCAAAGCCAAGATTTAACAAAGTCTTCTTAAGCTTCAAAGGATCACATATGGTTTCAACAACTACTAACATAATCGATTTGTAATTATCAATGTAATGCTTGCAATATCTGTAAAACGCTCTACTGGCCGCTCCCCTACAATTTCAAAACATTATTATTTTTTGTTTATATACATCATAAAATAAATTAATAATTTTTAGTAGCCTTAATTATCCAAAAGAGTCTCCTTCACATACTCACTGGTATCTTTCATATTAGTGATATCCATACTATTATCATTCTCTTCCACCTCATTGCTTTGTAAAATATTTTGATGCTCTCCGAAAGAAAATGAAATTTTCTTACGTGCATGTATAGTCGTATCAGGAGGTTTGTCCATCCCAAAGATTTCAAAAACTTTTGCATGTTGGTTCTCCAAACCATGCATGCCAACTGTGTCCTCTTTGTTTTTACCCATGCCATCATGTCTCCCACTACTTCACTTTTCTCTTTCCTTTTCAAATTAAATAACTCGTAACTAAATGCTTTTTGAGAATCTGCAGGTGTCAAACTTCCAAAAATTCCCTCAATACCAGATCTGTTGATTCCATTCTCATTTTCTTTAACTTGAATCCTCCCACGTGTAGCTACAACAACCCTTTTAGTTTGAGTGCTCAGTTTTTGTCTCCTGCCACCTTTGCCTAATACTAATGACTGATTAATTCCTTTGTCCCCACCATTATTGTTATCACCATTAATTCCCAAACAAGTTAATGAATTTATTAAATCCCTATCACAACTACACCTTGTATTCTCATAATTAATTCCTTTTTCCCCACCAGCCGTCTCATCATTAATACTTCTTTCCTCAATAGAAATTATTAGGATTGACATATCAAATTTCTTTATCTCAGCCTCATGCATATATTTGTTTTTAAGGACAATTACATCATTATTTATTTCTTGATCCTCACCTTCCAAAGCCAAAAACTGAGAACCACCTAATTTGATTTTCTCATTAAAACTTCCTGGAGCATTGTTTTTCTAGCCCTCCGCCAACTTCTTCCCTCTTCGTTGCTTTTGGACAATTTTCCAAGGACCATCCTCAATAGCACTTCCCCCATATTCACCTTCTCTCCCATTAGTAAGCTCATTCTGAATATCTCATCTCTGGCTATTACTCTCCCCCACCCTCTTCTCCCCTTTGATTACAACAACACAACCTTCTTTATAGTGCCCATATCCACCACAAGCAAGACAAAGCAAATGAAGACCTTCATACTCTATCTCGTAACTACTTTCTTAAATTTTGAACATTGCTAACAATGGATTCGAAAGATTCACATCAACATAAATTCTCGCGTATTTGCCTCTTTCTTGCTTGATCGTGGTTTTATCCACTTTGATTGTGTGTCCTATACGATCACCAAAATAGATAGTGACATAGGATCATACTATTCTATAGGAAGTCCAAACTGCTACTTCTTTAATGGTATCATTTTCAGGTTGAAAATTTGGACGCCAATTCTACACCGTTAAGTAATGATCGCATGTGAAAAAGCCACAAGATAGTAATCATTATTGAGATCAATTATATTGAGAATTCCTATACGCATCCACATCTGATTCAACCTGTTTTCTAGAGCTTTATAACCAATCCTTCTTTCAAGAAGTTTGACTATGACTCCTCTTCTCCATAGATGTTGAATTCTCTTCTCTTCCATTTTTGAAATAAATGAAATTTGGGTATTCATATAGAATATGTGATTTGAAGGCACATATTACAAAGAAAATGTGATTTGAAAACAAACTTTTAAACTAAGAAACGTGAAAATTTAACACGTTCCTATACAAAGAAACGTGATTTCAAAGAAACTATTAAACTAAATCTCTACATAAACATGAAAATTTAATGCGTCCTTATGCAAAAACGTGATTTAAAATAAACTTTTAAACAAAATATTTTCGTAGAGTAGAAAATTTAAGACAACTTTAAGGATATTTAAAAAACCAAACATATACTTAATCATTTTACTACTAGAGATTTAATAAGACCCTCACATGGAAGCAAACATAAAGATAAATGAAGTAAAGGAAGACAAATAGTTTTCAAAAAGAATTATTTTCAAAGATTTCTTTTCTTTAGCAAAAGGAGGTGTGAAACAAAGAGAAGTTGAAAAAACAAAGGATTCACAAACGAATAAAAAATAAAAATAAAAATAAAATATAAATCGTTCCATTTGGTTCAATACCATATACCATACTCCTTCATTCCAAAGCCACCCACGCTCGAAACAACAAAAATCTTCCATTCACCGCTTCAGCGATTCTCTCACTCTCTCAGATTCTCTCTCCCTCTCCGCCATTGCCAATGCCGATACCTCCTTCTCCTCCTCCTCCTTCACCGCCGCAACTTCCGCTTCTCCCTTAACCGCCTCCACCGGAGATTCTAATCTTCGCCGGTGATCCTCACCGTCGTTCCGTAACAATTTCTAGGGTTTTCTCTTCGTTCGATAGGTCTTGTTTTCAATTCGTATTTATTCGCTGTGGCATCGCCGCCGAAATGCCTCCGCGTCGACGTGCAGCAAAGGCCAAAGCCAATGAGAACTTGAGGCTCGGCGATCTCGTTCTAGCTAAGGTTAAGGGATTCCCTCCTTGGCCTGCCGTAGTACGTTTTCTCCTTCATCCAACTTGTTTCTTGCTTTTTGTTATTTTCCTTTTTATCTTGTCAATCGTTTTGTTACGATGCTCTGTGATTTCGTTACGATTTTTTGTCTACTTGTGTTGGTATTTGGATGGATTCTAGGTGTTAAGAGTTTGAGAAATTTTCTATATGTGACGTTTTGTATTTGTTAGTAGCAATTTTATTTCATTTAAGTGGGTGCATAGACGCTAGAAGTTCCAAATTGTTTAAGTTTTTCGAGATTTGATTGATGTTTTGAATATTTTCGTTATTTTGGTTCATAGGAGTATCACAATCATGTTCCATCTACTTTGTTTATTTATTTATTTATTTTTGGTGATCATTCTCATTGCTGGATGGTTAACCCATGGTTTTAAATTGCGGTTGCTGGTGTTGTGATTGCGGTTATTGAGGTGTTGCGATGCATATTGTGACGTGAATTTTAGTAGAGGAGTGTTTGAATAGACTCTCGAAGTTCAACATTGTTAGAATTTTTGGAGATTTGACTGATCTTTGAATATTTTTCGTTCATGTTCATGTTCCATCTACTTTATTTATTTATTTATTTTTGGTGATAATTCTCATTGCTAGATAGTTAACCCATGGTTTTAAATTGTGGTCGCCGGTGTTGCAATGCGCATTGCGGCATGAATTTTAATAGAGAAGTGTTTGAAATACAATGTTTGAAGAACATTTAATGTTGATTTTTTTCCATTACTTTTTAAGTAAATTGAGTTTTGGAGGTAAAGAAAATACTTGAAAAAATATGGGTGAAATTGTCTGATGTGGATTATAATACAGCGTTGACGTGGCTTATAATACAGCCAGACGCGTGATCTGAAATCACACGCAATTACGGTCTAGTGCGGTTGTGGAAGCTACCACATTTGCAATATTGCGGCTGCGGGGTGATTTAAAACCATGAGTTAACCCATTAATTGAAGTGGTTGAGTTTTTTTATTGTTTATTAATATTGGGATACTGATTTTGTTCATTTTTTTTTGTCTGTAGATAAGCAGGCCTGAAGATTGGGAGAAAACCCCTGATCCAAAGAAGTTTTTTGTTCAATTTTATGGGACCGAAGAAATGTAAATCTCTTTCTCTCTCCTGTTTTATTCGTAGTATATAGAACTTATTACACACAGTATTAAATTGTGATCATGTTGTGGGTGCAACACACTTGCAGCTGATACTGACTGCGCTTACGACCTAATGCAGTTCCGTGTTGAATAGCGGCTCAAGTGGTGTTATAGCATAGCAGAATTTTAAGAAATCACTATTGTTACACGATACACTATAGTACGAAATGTTGTTAAATAGTGGCGCTATAGCACCGCTGTGCAGCGGATTTTGAACAATCCACAATTTTCCACTATTGTTAAGACTAATTCAGTTGCCATAGTCACTACAATTGAAAACCTTACCTTAACAGCGTGGGAATGGCTAGTTGTCATATAATTCAGTGAATATATAAGCTCTTAATTGTTATATTTTTGATTTGGTGGATTTGTTATGTAATCCAAATGTTATTTGTAGAAGGAATCATATTCATTATTTTCTTCCATGTAAAAGTGAAGTGTTCTTAAGCATATATTTTGTTATTCACTTTCAACCATAAATGTCGCTCAATTTTGGAAAATTTGGCACCCCTCTTTTACTGTGTAATTCAAAAATTAAGTCTCGAGCTGACGGTTATGATGGTATCACTAGAGTAATTTCAAAGTAATTTGATGTTCTTTTTCTAAATATTTATCCAATTCATATGATTTTGTGATCTCTATCTTTTCTACTTTTTACCTCTGTTTTTTCTGTTTCTGTTCATTAGATCGACTGCTTTTCTTTTCCTGTTCTTAATAGCACCATTGATATAATCTTTTCCTTCCCAGAGCTTTTGTTGTCCCTGCGGATATCCAGGCATTCACCAATGAGGTCAAAACTAAGTTGACTGCTCGGTGTCATGGTAAGACTAAGTACTTTACCCGAGCTGTGAAAGAAATCTGCGCAGCATATGATGAGTTAGAGAAACAGAGAGCTGGTGGTTTGACAGATGACACTGATGATGCACATGTTGGTTCAGAGGCCCCTTCTTTTGATGGGGTAGCGGGTGGCATTAAGGATGCTACTGATGCTGTGGTATTGAATGTAGAAAAAGCGAAGACTATTATGGAAGATGTTGGCTCACATTTGGAGCACTATGAACAAAGATGTGGAGAAAGTGATTGCCAAGATGAAAAGCCTTCTGCATCTGGCCGTCCAACTGACAATTCATCTCCGGTTTTGCCACCTGTGTTGAAAAGTAAATCTTCCATTGGTACAGAACTAAACAAGCATGCTATCAAATCTGACCTTGAGGATCAGTCATGTCTAAAAAATGAAGTTTCTGATTTTATGGATGTATGCGATGTTAGTGACTTCAAGCAAGCTGATAATGTCCAGAGTGTTTCTACCGATAGGAACAAGACAAGAAAGCTTGTTACTGACTCAAGGAGGAGAAGTGAAGCTGCAGAAGATAAAGAAATAAGTGGATTTAATATAGCATTTTCAAAGGGTGAAAAGTCTGCAGGCTATGCTAATATTTCCAGGTCTAAAGAAACAATGGAAGATGGGAAAAAAGGGAAAAATGCATGTTTTGTTGATTCTGCAGATGGTTGTACGTCAGATCCTGATATTAAGAGTGGAAATAAAAATAAGAACTTGCTGAAAGCAAAAACAAGTCTTAAGGTAAAAAATGAGTTGCAGGAGAATTTTTTTGATTCTGATAAGTCTGATAGAAAGAATTCTATTAAGAAAAACAAAAACCAAATTCAAGGAAAGCGTAATTTGGGAACAAATCAAACTTTGCATGCTGCAAAAAAGTTCAAGCGTATGGATGTTAAAGACAACAAGACTTTAAAACCTCTTCCTGAAGATATTAAGAGTGCTTCCCCTGGCTTTCCTGTTGTCAAAGACAGGGCATTAAAAAAAACAGAGTTGAAAAGGTCTTTATCACGTTTGAAAGCAGATAAAGGGTTGTCATCAAGGGCTCAGACCTCTATTTTAGATTCCAGGGATTCTGTTTGTGAAGTGCTGAATGGTACAAAACATCATAGCCAAGTACGGAAAGCTATGCCTCATTCTGCTAGTCTTTCTTCTGGTGAACATGCAGAAATGAGTTCTCCTAAACTGAAAGGTGATGCAGATAATCTTGCAGTTAAACAAGTATGCAGGAGACGCAGAGCTGTTTGCTTTTTTGATGATGATGATGATGATGATAATGATGAATCAAAGACTCCTGTTCATGGTGGAGCTTCTAAAAATATTAGATCATCCTCTCATGTTTCAGAGGTTGTGAAGAGCAATGATCCATTGTTAGAGAATAGTGATGTTTCTCAGCCGCCTACTAAGGAAAAACCTAGTGCACTTGAGGATAGCCATTTGGAAGGACACTTCACTATATTACGTAATGACTCTTTGAATACAGGGTATCCTCAAAAAGAGAATGCTGATGAAGTTGTTGCTGTCAATTCGCCTTGCAGTCCTGAGAAATTAGATCCAAAGCATTTTCCTTCAAACATAGAAAAATTAAGCTCCATCTCTCCAGTAACTTCTCCTCAGTCTCTTCCTACAACAAAGTCAAATGCTGAGCAGCATAATTCTTCCAAAGCTTTGCCTAAAATAAGTTCCATCTCTCTAGTAAAATCTCCTCAGTCTCATACAAAGTCAAATGCTGAGCGGCATAATACTTCCAAAGCTATGCCTAAAATAAGTTCCATCTCTCCAGTAAATTCTCATCAGTCTCTTCTTACGACAAAGTCAAATGCTGAGCAACATAATACTTCCAAAGCTATGCCTAAAATAAGCTCCATCTCTCCAGTAAATTCTCCTCAGTCTCTTCCTAAATCAAAGTCAAATTCTGAGCGGCATAAATCTTCCAAAGCTTTGCCTAAAATTATCAGCAATGCTACTGAAAAGAAGGCTGATAATGGGTCTTCAAAGAGTTTAATTGGCATCAACACATTGCAGAGTCAAGTTACAACTCCAAAGAAGAAGTCTGTGTCATACGTGGAAAGGTCTAAAACTACCCCAAAGACATTGTCACAGTCAGTTAAAGTTCATACTACCACAGAAAGTTTAAAGGAACTTGATGCTATTCAGATTGATAGGTATATATGCTTTTGCCTCTGTCTTTAAACCATAGTCACATAATTCGCAGGTACCCCCGCGCGTACCAATTCGCGGTACTTTTGCGAATTGGTTCGTACGAATTCGTCTGAAATTCGTGTAAAATGAAGTACCCGCGAACCAAATATAAATTTAAATGACATAATATTTATCAAATAAACTAGAAATTATAAAAACAAAATTTTAACTAATTTTTTAATTATGATGAGGTCTGAATCACTTTGATAAAAGTGAATATTAATGACCATACTCAATTAATATTAAAGCTTTGGTGAGCTGATATTAGAGTTGTGTGAGTATACACTAGGTATTATTTATAATTGATTTTTCAAAGCAACATTAGTAATGTAGTCGATGTGGGACTACAAAGTTTTTCTCCCAACCATTTTTCATTCTAAGTAAACCATTTCTTTAATAATAACGTACCAATTATTATATTTGAACGTACCACGAACCCAAATAGCGTACCAACTATGTATACCCCTCGTGTACCTAATTCTATGAGAGTTGCGAACCGTGTACCCGAATTCGTACCACGTACCGAAGCGAATTGCAAACCGTGTGACTATGCTTTAAACTTTATGTTGTCTGTTTATTTTTTAATTATTTACTGATTTTCTTCTTTATGACTTGTTTATGTTTCATAGGTTAGAGTTGGACGCAGAAGAAAAAAGTAGCCTATATGTTGACTATGGGTCTCCAGAAAATGCCAAGACTATGAAGCATCTTATTGCAGTTGCCCAGGCAAAAAGGAGACTAGTAGCTCAATTTCAGTGTCATCCTTTTGACCTTCATAATGTTCAAGTGGGAACACCTAGTCCCTCTACAGTGCAGCCATTTCTATCCGTACCTAGCAATAATGGTCGGTCAGATATGCAGGGAGTTTATGAGCAGCCAATATTAGCTTCTCCATCAACCAATGGGTATCATTCCACTTCTCTAAATCAACTTGATGCTGAAGAAAATGAGGAGAGAAGAGTTGGTTCGGGGCAAAGGGCTGTTGAGGGATCTCTGAGTGGAGGTACTGAGGCTGCTATTGCCCGTGATGCCTTTGAAGGAATGCTTGAGACTTTGTCAAGGACCAAGGAAAGTATTGGGCGCACAACACGTCTTGCCATTGAGTGTGCTAAGTATGGCATTGCCAATGAGGTATGCTTTATTATATAACTGTTATTTCTGAAATTATTAATTGAATATTGACTTTCTTCCTCATCTTCTACTCCAAGTATAAACAATTTAAAAGCTACCATGGTGTTCGACAATACAGTAATAAGTGTAATTGGAACACTTCTTTGATGTCATTTAAATTTTAAATCTCACGAGTTGTGTTGAAGTGTGAAACCAGTTCAAAACTCGAAAACCATTGTTGTGGCATTGTAGGTGTAGGGATAAACCCAGCTTTTGGAGAAATCTAACTTTTAAGTTTTATTGAAATTTAATGGTTTTGTAATAGTATGTGTTAGTTATATTTCACTTGATCTGTAGATTACATACTTCTACTATCAGTTTACTTGTGTGCCTTGTATTTAGTTCTGACTTGTAGAGATATGCCAATGCATATTGTGATATGAATATAATTTATATGATACTCGTGCAATTAAATTTTTCATGTAGTGGACTTACTCCAAAGTCTATATGTTCAGGTTATTGAACTTCTTATCCGAAAGCTAGAAAGTGAAACTAGTTTTCATCGCAAAGTGGATTTGTTCTTTCTTGTTGATTCCATAACCCAGTGCTCACATAATCAAAAAGGTGAGAGCATTTACTTCACTGAATTTTGTTTTGTAGCATTTATTATGAACTCTCTGTTTCTCTCTCTGGTTCTGTATCTTCTCTTTTCTCTGCTTAGGTTGCAAGTCTCTAGTAGTGTTCTCTTTCGTGGCATTTCCAACTCTAATCGTAGAGATATTTTCAGGCATTGCAGGGGCTTCCTACATGCCTGCAGTTCAAGCAGGGTTGGCACGTCTTCTTGGAGCTGCTGTCCCCCCTGGGACCAGTGCCCGTGAAAATCGTCGCCAATGTCTTAAGGTCAGTTCTTGTTCTTTTTTGTGATAAATAAATTTTATTCAGGAGAAAGGAAGTATGTAGATATGATAAGCATACTCCAAAACAGAGATTAATGGAATAAGAGCGAAAACAGAATGACGGAGATTCCAACAAAGGTTTCAATTTCTACATATTATTATTAATAATGGCAATTTCCGTGAAACAGTCATGGATGCACTAGATAGAAGCTATAAAGGCGCGGATACTGCCCTGCCCCATTTGAAAATAGAGATTATTACAGGTGTTAAATACACATGAATTTTACTCCAACTACGTAAACAGTAGAATTGTTAAAACTTAAAAGCACACACTACCCCTAAATTTTGGCTGGTTAATTCCGAAACCTGTAAAAAAAACCAAAGTGAAGCAACTTCAGAGGGAACGGGCAATCACATAGATTCTAGCACACCAAACGAGTTTTCCAAAAGAACGTATTTCCTTGGAATGTAGAAATAAAAGGGATGTTATTTTTAAGTTTAGGCTGAAAATTACACAAATAGCTGCACGGGGTATGAATCTTATAGATGTTATGCACATTAATTCTTTTGAGTACAATGTTGAGATGAAATATTTGCTCTCTGTTAGTTTTAGATTTTCATAAGGCTTTGTTCAACTCTTATTCTTCGGAATTATACAACAATAACAAAAACTGTTTCCCACCGACCATCAGGTAAAGTTAGCTGCATACATGGATCAAATGAATTTCGTTGTGTCGTGTCATAAACCTGCTTTCCGGGATTGTCAGTTTGATCAAGGTTATTTTAGACGATATCTTGTAGTTTTCCTTGATCTTCACCCTAAAACCCTTAGACGATATCTCTCGTAGACAATTCGATACTTTTTCCCTATCTTTTCCTGCTTATACTTCCTCCTAAAATATGATACTAGAATCATCTCAAGGTGACGGAGTCTCTTGAGATTCATATGATTGACAGCTATCACCAGACTGTCATTTGCCTCCTTTTGAAATTGAAACAATACTCCCAACCAACAAATAGTTCTCAGCTCTCCTTTCTCGACGACAGGAAATGCCTAATTTTTTATCCTGAGTGAGTCATTGTAAAATGAATCGGGTGTCTACAAAAAGTGTGATTTGTCTACAAAAGAAAATTAAGATTCTTTACAACTATCTGGATGCTTAGAGTTTTTTTTATTGATTTGAACCTAAAAGGGAAACCCCGAGAGTCACATCACTACCAAAATTTCCAAATTAGTGTGAAGGCACTGAAAATTTTGGCATTCCTTCCAAAGCAGTGGAAAGGGTTGTTCTTTCATTTAATTTATCCCACTCACGGGAACATATTTAAATTTAATATTTAGTTGTGGATGATAATTTTGTTTACAGAGGTTTATGACTCCACTTTTTCTAAGTCAGTATGCAGTGTGCTAGTGGAATGTTATATTTCTGTTTTCTTTATTATGTTGTGTGAAATGCAGGTTTTAAGGTTGTGGCTTGAGAGGAAAATTTTTCCTGAATCAGTACTTCGCCGTTACATGAATGATATTGGAGGTTCAAGGGATAATATGACAGTTAGCTCTTCTTTCCGCCGTCTTTCTCGGACTGAACGATCTGTGGATGACCCAATTAGAGAAATGGAAGGCATGCTTGTTGATGAGTATGGAAGGTGCGGTTATTGAGGTTATTAAAATTTTTAGAATTAAATTTGATGTGCTTGTTTTCATTATTTCAAGTTATCCTTTCATTAGTCATTGGCCATTTTTATGCCAAATAGTCCATCTTTACCCAGGAGACTGATTCCATAAATGAGATGCCAATACAGCAGCACACACTGAAAAACAACTTTTGAAATTATCTATGTTGTCAATAGCGCGCCATAGCAGAATAGCGTAGTGGTGGTAAGGTTTGGCGCGATGCTATTGGCCCGCGAGCTGCTGTCAACTATAGTGGTTGTAGCGGCCGCTAACTAAGGAGAAATTGCGGCCGCAAACCGTTGTCCCAGCCTCTATTGCCTCCACCCTTAGAATTTCGGGGATAAACTCCTCAAATACATTTTTTTAAACCGTTGTCTTTTTTTAAGGGTTTAAATTTCAATCCAAATTTGAAGAGTAATGTTATGTTATTGCTCACAAACAGTTGTTTTGTTCTTCATACTTTTAGTCCAGTTCTGTTTTATTATTCTTCATTTCTTAAGTTATATTACTCTATTCTTTAGGTTCTTTAACTATTAAGTAGGATGATCTCTTTAATTTTGTGTATTAGTCTATTTTTGAGTATTTATGCTACTCTATAAACTGGTTTTTAGTCTTTGCAATAGCGGCTATCCCGCTATGACATTTAGGGGGTCTATGCTAAGCAACGCTATATGAGATTAACCACATAGGAAATTATCGTATCACCAATTAAGTTGAGATTATAGAGTGAAGGGAAAAAAACTTGGGGGAGAAACATAAACATGTCTGGCATTTTGGTAATTGTTTATGTCTATACAATAAAGCAATTGAATGGAAATTCAGCAAATTCAAATCATGGCTAATTTTTTTATGATAAAACTAGATTCATTAATCCACATGAGTTCTAAGTTAATTTCAAATCATATTTTTTGAAAAAACAGTGCTAATTTTTAAGAGGAGTGCTAGGAACACTCTCTTTTCAACACTCACTCTCTTATTGGGTGAAACATTTGTGGGTCCCTCACTTTGGAAATAGATCCTACATGAAGTGGTAGGACCCATATGTGTTTCACCCAATAAAATAGTGAGTGTTAAAGAGACTGTTGAAAAGAGAGTGTTGCTAGCATCCTCATTTTTTAATTTAGATCGACTTATGTACTGATTGTATTATATCATATTTTTCATTTGTAAGTGATTGTCAAAAGACACAACCCATTAGGTTAGTTCTCAGAAAGTGATGAGGAATAGTTACTGTACAAAGTTGAAGCATATTCTAGTGCCTGCATTGTTGCGGTTTCTGGTAATAGGGCAAGGCCCCTCTAAAGTGAGCAATTCACTCTAGAGAGTAAAGTGAATAATATCACCCATTGATAAACAAATCAATGATTGATGTTATATGCACATGCATAACAAATCATGGATGGTTACAATATCAACCCTTGATTTTTTTCACTTTAGAGGAACCAACTCCCCAGTAATACTATGTGAGTTGCTTTGCATGGTTTTTGCAAATTGGGACATGGAGAGAATGAAAAAATTGGCAACTTGTTACTCTAAATGATCTAGTTCCAAAAAAGGAATAAGACGATTTTATTTGGCAGGGATTTTAATTTGCAGCATGAAGTTATTCATTTTATGAATCACAACTGGTTAATTAATTTATATTCTTGTTCCATTTTTACTTGTTTTCAATTTCAAAAACTACTTTAAATTCTGATTCTTGTTATATACCTGTGTTGTTTTTCAGTAATGCTACATTTCAGCTGGCTGGCTTTTTGTCTTCACACTTGTTTGAAGACGAGGAAAATGATTTTTCTAATAATGCCTCTCCAACAGATCCTACTCACACTCTTGTGGAGTCAGAAACTTCTACCGTTACCCCTAGTGACAAGCGCCACTGTATCTTAGAAGATGTGGATGGTGAGCTAGAAATGGAGGATGTATCAGGCCATCCAAAGGATGAAAGGCCTGTATTGTTGAACAGTACCTCAGAAATGGATTTTCAACTTCAGGGCTCAGATAGGATATTGGATCCAGCATCAAACGTTTCTGAGGAGCTACATGTTTTTCCCGAGGGTTCTCCTCCATTACCACCAGGCTCACCTCCTACTCCCCCACCTTTGCCTTCTTCACCACCACCTCCATTATCTCAATCTCCTCCCCCACCCCTGCCTCCCACATTGCTACAACCTTCACCTCCTCCTTTACCACCCCCACCGTTGATTCCTCAATCATCTGGAACAGCTCAGTCTTCCACTTTTACCCAGGCGTTAGTGCCATCACACCAGTCATCGCCGCTATCAGGGTATCAGCAGCTTCATAACTGCAATGACACAACTAGTGTAAGATGTTTTTACTTATGGTTCTCAATGGTTTGTTATATATTTTTTTGCATTACTGGTTTTGAAAAATGGAGTCCTCTATACAGGGCGTCCAAATAGTTCAAACGGCTGAAAATTCTTTTCCTGGAGGTCAAAATAGTTCAGTTGTGAAGAATGAAATATTGCCACAGCCATCTGCTTGCTTTCCTCCAATGGCAGGTTGCAGCTCTCAGGAACCTTCTGATTTAAACCCTACAAGGCAGTTGGAATATGGACAGAGCGATATGAATCTAAATTCTCAAATTCCTCAACATAATCAGCAATTTCAGATGGGTAATCCTCATTTTGCTCCAAGACACATGCATCCTACCCCACCCCAAAATCCATCTAACCAATATTCATATGCAAAGCCTTCAGTTCAGCAGCATCTTCCACATTCTTTCTGTCCTCCTTATGCATTGTCATCCATTCCAGATGGCCAGAGGCAATTTGTTGCAAATGAGCAATGGAGGATGCCGACAAGTGAATTTAAATTAAACAATCAACATGGTTTATGGAGAGGGATAAATCCTTCATGTCCTGGTCCACCCTTTGGGCAGGAAGGTATGTGAATCTATTCAGCTTACTATTCCAAACATTTATCACAGTAAAATGTTATTGGTGTTTTATATTGCCAATTACATGTGCACCTCTTAACCAGAAGTGTCTTTAGTTTTTTTGTAAAACTGTTCATCCATTTATTTACTTTTTGCAATTTACTTAGTATTTGTGTTTTGAGTTTAAATCTGAGTGTTTGTTTCAATGGTCGTGATGACAGATTATTTTCGGCCACCACTTGAAAGACCACCAATGAGTAACATAGGTTTTCAACATGCGAACCCCAACAATATACCTGTTCCTCCTTCGAAGTCAGGTAGTTTCTCCAATTTGACACTATTCTTTTCCTTGTTTCTAGTTGGTGTTCCCTTTGAAATTCCACATGTTAAGAAACTATATTCATGCATCATTATCATTTTTCCTTCATCAGGATATGGTGTTCCTCAGATGTTCCCTTGTAGACCAGACATTCCTGCACTTAATTGTTGGAGGCCTACTTGACGATCAAGTTTTTTTCTTTCCAATTCATCTGCAATATTAGTATGTAAGGATATTGGTTATTGGATTCGTTATATGTGGCCTGTTTGATATGTTTATTGGTTACACAGCTTATTTGTCATGTTTGCATCAAAATGAATTTGATTTTGACATCATGATAATTAAACCTGCCTTTGCTCGGAGTTTTTTTTTTTAAATTAAAAGGTTTTAGGTTGTTATACATACCTAGAGTGTATAGTGTTCAAGTGTGCTTTTGTAATTTGTTTTGTTCAATTATTATGGTGATTTTTAATCTAAAGAGAATAGTATTTCAAGGTTCTCTCTTTTATTTAGTACTGAATTATAACTGCTTTTAACCTTTCAGTGCTGTTGCTGATGGATCAACAAACAAGGTTACATAGTGTCTCCTGAAGATAATTCACTTGTGTAGTACATATGACTACCCCCAAAGAAAATTTTGAAAACTTGTGGAGGCTTTTAGCAGGACTGTATATTTTGATTTTTCCTGTTGACAAATCCCAAGAACGTTTGCTCCCAAGTTTAGTTCCTTATTTTGACATTTTTAGTTTATCAGTTTCTCTCACCTCTTGTAATTATTACAAAAGATCTACACATAGAAATCAGTTTATACACTCAGTTTTGAATACAATAATTGAATGTTGATGTTACTATCTAGCCTTTGGTTTCTTTTTCAGAATTTTTTTCTTTAACCCTTTCTAGTTTTTGTATTGTGATATTTTAAAGTTTATTGGAAAATAAAAAACAAAAATGGATTAATTGATGGTGGTATGGTTAACATTTTATTTTAATGGAGTTCTTCCCATACTGATAAGTTCTTGCTCCTTAAAAAAGTTAGCTATGCATTTATTTCTCATAGGCTCCATGCAAATGCCATCTTAGATGACCTTAACATCTAAACTTCATTGTAGTATTTATGTTTTTATTGATTTTTAACAATTGTTTCTGCTTTCCTTAGAGTTGATTGAATTATTGGGGTAGAAATTAATACTATGTTAAATGTATTGTGTTTTGTCCTAAAATTTGCTATTAAGATAATTTTAAGAGGGAATAAGTGAACATTATTTGTGGCTGTTTGATAGAGAGCTATTTGGTTGTATATGTGATTAATTAATGTAAATGGCACTCCACCTAATTGTATAGAGTAATAAAACTTTGGTTATTATAATTTGACAATGATGTATAGTGTAAACTGAAAATTCAATGTCCAGGTTATGGTGTTCAACATTTAAACCAGGCAGAAAACTAGTTTTGCGTGAGACAGCCTGGTTACATTTTTAATTTTCTAATTTTCTAATTTAGCTGTTAATAAAGCTCTTTTCTCAAGGGTCATGAATGGATTACTCTTTGATGATTTGTTTCTAAACTGTTTTGACATTATTTTATTTATTTCTTCAGAGTTCAGAGTAATACTGTCATTGTGAAAAGGCCATGCGTCGAACATCCTGTCTCTGTCATACAGTGTTCTTTGAGAAATCAACTGTTACGGCATGCTTCCGATTTTGAATTAGTGAAAAACATACCAAGTTTGAGAATGACTGTCAAAATTTCTGTCAAATGACGTTACTGAATACAGTCACATGCTGAATTATGGAGTATATTAAGCTCAAAGCAACACAAACAGGTCTCAGGCTAATACATTTTAGTTCACTCTGGTAATTCTACTATTTGTCTTGCTCCTCGTTTTTTGGATTCTGGATTTTGAACTTATGTGCTTCTTCTCACATGTATTTCCTCTCTTTCTTAACACTGTCAATCTAATTTAAGGCCAAAGCCACTGGAAAATGTGAATTGTGAATTATGAGAACCTTTAAGCCGTCTTTGTGTCTTTTCGTTATCAATTATCATATAAAGAGATTCTAAAGAATGCACAACATCGGCAACAGTCTATTTTACATTTGCATATTAGAGTAGTGAAGACCTGAAAGAGAGGTGATCTAACAAAAGTAATGGAGAGAAAACAAAATGCTCTTTTGTTTTCTGTATTCTGTTGCAATCTCTTATTTCTGTCATAGTACAAAGGCTGTTATTACAGTGAGTTGCTGTTACAACAGCATTCGCCCAATCCACCTGCTGGTTCCATCCTATTGAACCATAGGCTAATTTAACCAGATTGACCCGTGATTGAACTGTTGTTGGTTCCATCAGTTTTCTGTTTTTACTTTTGATTTATTTCTTAACCGTCCAGTTCAACTATGATTTGAACCAATTGAACAATAACCCAGAAAATCTCACTGGTTTGATTTTCGATCTGGTTTTTAAAATAGTGTTATGTGTTGCATAACACCTTATTGCTGAAGAGGAATAAGTAAATTGACCATTTCAGGTTTTTGCACAAGCAAGGAGGATATAGTGATTACTTTTGTGTTTTTGATGCAGTCTCTGAAAAAAATAAAGAATCACTCATTCGGAACTGTAGATCTTTGAGATAAATGTTTGACACAGGAGCAGAAAATTGTCAGTGACTTGAAATTTCTATAGAATTAGTAAATTGTTTGTACTGTATAATACAGATTTGATACCTGCGTATCCATATGCACTTGGTGTTATTTTATATGCACTTGGTGTTATTTTATATGTATTTTCACAGAAGAAACAAGAACTATGAACATTTTGTGATTAACTGTAGAAATTTTTTTCGAGTAGACTTTCTGTCTCCCCATGAAGATTGATGGTTTACAACCACTTGCGTTGAGAGCTAACACAAAATATTGTAATCTATATCAAAATCAATTCTGAATTCATTACTTTTAACTTTTGTTAGGTAATGATCATATTATATTATGAGGTAGGATAGGAGTTCTTAGGATATGTTTTCAATCATCTGATCTTTGGATGCAAGAAGCATTTTATGTTTGAAGAATCCAATTGTTTCTTGACTGAAAAAACTTTAGGGTTTGTTTGAGAGTTGTTTTCTGGAGGGGAAGATTTTGGAGGATTGCGTCTATATCTTGAAATGTGTGTAATATTTTTAAAAATTTAAAAAAATAATATACTACATTAACATATAAAATCATATCGTTTTTTTAAACTTTTTAAAAATATCAAATATTTTTCTAAAATATAGATGTAATCTTTCAAAGTTTTTCCTTTTAAAACTCTCCAATAACCAACTCCTAAAATATATCCTTAGAGTTTTAGAAAAAGAATAGTTAGGTTTCATTTTAATTTCTAAGTGATTTGGTCATTTGTGATTACCTAAAGTGGGCACAAGATCCGGAAGCGTTAGAATTTTGCTTGCAACAGGCTTTGTAAAACTATTTACAACATAAATTTGTTAAAATTCAGATGTTAGACATACATTATTTCAATTATAAAGTGTGCTACACTTTTCAGATTCGGAAGGTAAAAAGAATGCAATTAGTCTCTCTCTTTGGTGCCGTCTACACCACCACGTCATCCATCAACCTCTTCTTCCACCCTGCTTCAGTCCATCATAATTGTTTGATATGGAATGAAATGAGTGCAGAAGCCAAACAAAATTAGAAGAAATTTGATTCTATCTGTCTACTCTATTTCTTTTTCTTAATCTCTCTCTCGACTATTTTATGATTCTTGAAAAAAAAAAAAAAGTAAGATGAAGATAGAGTTCGTAGATAAAAAGAGTGAAGAGGGGATTTAAAAGAAAAATTATGAAGAGGGGATTTGGGTTCAAATGAGAACGGATTTGAAATCATATACTTAAGGAGCATTTGACTTATCACCCCCGAGTTGTGACATCCTCGAATGAAATGAAAAGACCATAATAATCCTATTCGATTTCCATTATTTTGTTAAATTCACAGTAACAAATCAAAAATTTCAAAATTCGCGATACCGCAATTTTCACCTTCATACCAAAAGTTCTTTATAAAAAGCAAGTAGAATATCACAAAAATGAGATTTTTTTGAAAAAAATCACGGAAATTTCAGAATTTGAAAGAATTTCACATAATTTTTGAGAGAGTTTCACAGAAATTTCTGATAGTTTAATTTTTTTTGAGAAATTCTGAAAAATTCCATTACCTTGTGTTTTCTTCATACACTAATTTTTGGTGCCGTTTAATTTTTCCCCAGTGAGTGTCGCACACTTTTTTGGCGCTTAATTGTGACAATTATGATATGTAAAAAAATGTAGCGGCAAAAATTAGAGATTAAGTCATCAATTGATTTATCTCAACACAATGAAGTCACCACCGCACTTTATTGTTTCCAAAGGGAAATGGAAAAAAAGCGAACAAAACCCAAAAAGATCAGAGATCGAGGTACGGAGGTCGGTTATGTAAAGGGAAGATATTAACACCCTAAGCATCTACGGTACTCTGTAGGATTCACTTTGTTTGGTTTCTTTTAAAAGGAGTGTCATGTAAAGGTTTACTTGCTAAAAGAAAAGAATGAATGTTTATTTGTAAACAAAAGAAAATGAAATATTTTTTATTATTTTTGTTGTTCGCTTTGGGTCGTAAGACTTAATGCCTACGTACTCTCTCGTGCAATGGAAAATTTAGAGCACCGTAGTTCGGTTAGAAAAAACTTGTCTATTGATTGATATTAGACAAGGAGATAAGTCGTCATTGTTAGGAGAGAAATCTCGACTAACGCCTACAAGGTGTAAGAAAGATGGACCATGCGTCAGCAAGAGTGAGGGTTTGAGAACGCCTCTAGCACTCAAGTGGAAAAGTCGACACCTTTATAACCATAGGGATAAGAGAATGTTGCTCGACTATCAATGAATCATGTCTCATCTTGAAAAAAAGTTTTGAAGGGTAAAAGTGCTCGAGCGCACAAAAAGGTTTGAATGAGTTGAAGTGTTTTTGTTAATTTTGAAAGATGTCAAAGTATGATTAAGTGATTGAAGTTTGTTTAAAGAAAATAAATTTTAAAACAAAAAGCACTCGACAAAGTCGAGGTTTATTATGAAAGCGGTTCAAGTTTATAAACAAAGAAGAGTTTGAAAAAAAGATGAGAAGATTTTGAAAATTAAAGAAGATGGGAGGAGATGAAGG